TCTCCGCCCATTTCTCTTTTTTTTTTTTTTTTAAATGTTTTATTTATTTCTAGGAGAGAGAGAGAGACAGCATGAGCAGAGGAGGGTCAGAGAGAGAGGGAGTCACAGACTGAAACAGGCTCCAGGCTCCGAGCTGGCAGTCAGCACAGAGCCCGACGCGGGGCCCGAACCCATGAACCGCGAGATCATGACCTAAGCGAAAGTCGGACGCTTAACCGACTAAGCCACCCAGGCGCCCCCCCCCCCACCATTTCTCTTGCTTTCCTCCCTGATCCTGCCAGAGCCTCGCTGGGTGAGGGAGGGAGGGGGGGTCACGGCCTGACTGAGGGGACTGAGCTCATTTTCCCCAGGGGCCCCATCAGCCTGGGGGTGTGAGGGTCAGGTGCCCAAGAAGAGCCCCCACCCAGCCCTAGAGCCGGCCAGGCCCCTGCCTCTGATGGTAAGCTTCCTCCCGGGCCCGCCCCCCACCCCGAAATAGCAGTGTAGCCCTCTCCCACCCCCCAGCACAGGCCCAGCCGTGGGGGACCCCCTCTGGCCTCATCTCAGCTTTGGCCTCTACCCTTAGCCTACCTCAGCCCCTTAGCTCGGCCTCTGCAGACAAAGATCCAGAAATTGGACACCTTGCCCCCCCTGCCCGGCAAGCTGCTGTGGGAACCCAAGGAGTGGGGGTCAGGAGGAAGCCCCCATGGCCACCCGGCTGCCCCCAGCTAGCGAGGAGCCACTGCTGGAGCTTTTAGGCTGCCAAGTGTTTGGGGTCAGGATGGATTCTTAGAGCTCACTGCCTCCAGGCCACTCCCACCCAGCAAGCAGCTGCTGGCTGGTTAAAGGGACAGAGAAGGATGTTCTACTTTAAAAAAGGGGCACCTGCGTGGCTCAGTCAGTTAAGCATCCGACTTTGGCTCAGGGCATGATCTCGAGGTCTGTGAGATCAAGCCCCGCATCGGGCTCTGTGTGGACAGTTCAGCCTGGAGCCTGCTTTGGGTTCTGTGTCTCCCTCTCTCTGCCCCTCCCCCTCTCGCACTCTGCCTATCAAAAATAAACATTAAAAAAAAAAATAAGGAAGCCTCATAGGGCTCCTTCAGTGCTCAGGAGGAGACACAGCTTCTGTAGCTTTAGCCCAAGGTGACCGCTAAGGAGCGCAGACCCAGGCCTGTCCCGTCCAGTCTGGTGGCCAGGAGCCACCTGAGGCCACTGAGACCCGTGAAGTGGCCGGTCCCCACTGAGGTGTGCAGGCAGCGCAGAGTACAAGGGTCTTGAAGACTTAGGACGGAAACATCTCATGACTTGGTCGTGACATGGTCACATCGATGGTGGGTGAAACCCAGGCTTCAGTGTGAACACACAGTTTATCCACCGAAATGAGGTCACCTATTGCTTTTTATCTTGGTTTTTTTTGTTTGTTTGTTTGTTTTGATGTGGCCACTAGACAGACTTAAATGACCCAGAGAGGCTCCCACTGGTGGCACATTCCAGCTCTGTGGCCCAGCCTTGCACACTCATTGTATGCCCGGGGCCTGACCTGGCTAAATACAGGAGGAAGGAAGGAAGGAAGGAAGGAAGGAAGGAAGGAAGGAAGGAAGGAAGGAAGGAAGGGAGGGAGGGAGGGAGGGAGGGAGGGAGGGAAGGAGGGAAGGAGGGAGGAGGAAGGAAGAGATAGATGGACACAGGCCCAGGCCCCAGGTGAGGGGACAGGGACAGCAGTGGCCGGCTGCACAGTCCTGCTGTGGGCTCTCACCCTGGGTGATGGGCCGCAGGTGGGGATGGCTGATTCCCCTACATCCTGGGGACTCCCACCCAAGAATGGTGGTAATTCCCATCCAGGACGCGGGGGGGTCAGTGCCTGGGCAGCCAGTGGCCCCAACCAGGGCTGGGTGTGCTATGAGCTCCCCAGAAATAGGCCAGCATTGTCCCAGAACCGCTCCGCCTGCACCCACGAAGCCAGACCTGGGAACGCCAAGGGCACTGGCCAAAGGGTGGCTCCATCTTTGTCCAGCACCTCGACCTACCCAGGCCCCCGGGCAGCACCTCCCAAGAGGACTAATGGTCAGAGAGGGTGCTGGGGGAGCACAGCACCTCCCTGAGAAAGAAGGGCACCCTCCACCTGGAGACCCAGGGGTGCTGTCCCTGGAACCTTCCAGAACTCCATATCCTGCCCCCCCCCCCGCCAGTGACATTAGCCCCCAGCACTCACCTTGAGGGGAGGAGCAATATCTTACCTTAATCTGAGGGGCCAGCGAGTAGCAGGTGAGCTCAAACCGGACCTGGTCATTTCCCTGAAACGCGGGACACAGGGTGATTATCAGGAGCCGCAGGACAGGGACAGCACCGACAGCACCGTGTGACTGCTGACGACCTGCCTGAGGGCTGCTCAGGGCAGGTCCACCTCCAACCTCGAAACCTTCTGAGGTGGGGACTGTTATTGGCCTCTTTTCTGGAGAGGAAGCCCCACCTCCTGCCCTTTAGGCAGAGTCAAGATTAGAATCCAGGGCTCCCGCAGAGCCGGGCGGTGTGGGCCCGCAGGTGTGCAGGACGGGCTGCCTGTGGGCCCCGGTGTGTGACGTGTGCACGTGGGTATGTGGTGGGATGCAGGTTGTGCACTGCACAAACCCAGCGGTGTGCAGATCGGGGGCGGGGGGAGGCATGTGGCCTGATGCAGATACACCTGTCTGGGAACACAGTAGGGCGTGCACATGTATCATGTCTGTGCGCACTTCAGGGGGTGCACATGCGTGCGAGGCTGGGGGCCTGGACCCCCAAGATCCCCATCCTCCTGTAGGGAGTCCCAGCTGCCTGTACCTCAGCCTCTTCCCGAAGCTTCTTCCCCAACCTGGCCCGTCGGCCCCAACCCAGAGATCAAGTCCAGGGCTCGGGCCCGTGGTGCTTTAACGATTCATATCCATAAAGCTGGGAATCCTGCCTCCAATCTGAGCCTCAGTTTCCCCATCTATATACTTGCAGGGAGGGAACGGGGGGAACCCGGTGACCCCTGAGGGCTCCTTGCTCCTCGGTTCCTCTCTGAACAGGCAGGAAACTGAGGTCCAAAGAAAAGGAACTAGTTCAAGGGCACTGAGCCGGGTACTGGGCCCCCTGCAACCCCACCCGGGAGGGTGGCCCTGCCTTTCTGCGCCCGCGTCCTCCGCTGTAGAATGGAGACTCGGAGGAAGAGGAGGCCGCAGACACAATGGCTGCCAGTGTCCTGTGCTTCCCATCAGCTCGGCGCCCACAGGGGGACTTAAGCTGTGGAAATAACAGAGAGGCCTTGCGCCTGCTGTGAGAACTGCACAGGCCCAGCGAGGCAGCGGCGGGAATAACATGTTATTTTCCAGAGTCTTGTCAGGCGGCGCGGAAATACAGGCTTCAGCCCCTCTGCGCGGAGCCGGGGGCGGAGGGGGCGAGGCTGCCCCTCCCCGAGGCGCTCAGGGCCCTGAGCGGTGCCACACCGGCCATCCGGCTCCTCGTCCGCCAGCCGAGCCCCGTGCTGAGCACCTACTATGTGCTCGCTGTCACGGGGGAAAGCCACCTGGGGCCAGGCACATAGTTAGCCCTGCTTTGCTGACAAGGCTCAGAGACGTAATGTCACTTGCCCAGGGCCACACAGCCAGCAGGCAGCATTTCCATCCTAATAGCTCATTTTCCCGTGACTGGTCTGAGCTCTGGACTTCACCTGGTTGAATCCTTACAGCACCCGCCCCCCCCAACTGGAGGTAGGCCCTATTACTGTCCCGGCCTCACAGATGGGGAAACCGAGGCACAGGTGGCCACACTTGCCCAAGGCCCCGTGGACGGCACAGCTCCCAGAGCAAAGGCAGAGGATAAAAAGCAGACTCGGTGCGGGTTTGTGAAGCCCACGGCATTGCATCTCCTGCTGGTGATTTCCCCCCCACGGCTTCATGTTTCCCCAGTACAATGGCCGCTTGTGCCTCCTTGGACAGGCACACCCGGGCGGTGTCTGCCCACCTGGACCCACATGGGGACACCCATCTGTTCCACAGTCGGAGACCTGCGCACGGGCCAGACAGGCTCCCTTGGCTCAAACTCTGTCCCAGGTTGAGACCCAGGTCGGTCCAGCCCTTCCTCGCCCTGGAAGGCCGGACCCTCAGGACTGGGGTGGCCCCCCCGGCGGGAGAGGGGATGTGGCTACGTGTGCCCACTCGCTGATACACACGCAGGCGTGCGTGAGTGTGGGTGCAGCACCCAAGGGACCTGCAGGGGCTGGGGGGGGCGTCTGCCCATCTGTTCCTGGGCTAACCATACAGATGGCCCCATTTACAAAACTGCTCCCCGTACCCCTGCCTGAGTCTGGCTCATATTTCCAGGCCCTTCTTCTGAAGGGGGGGGAGGGTTAGGAGGCCCCGGAAGGGCTACCGCAGCTTCTGCGCAGCTCTCTGCTGGGGGGGCGATCAGGGCAGGGCGTGGAGACGGGACCCCCAGCTCCAGCTCTGTACCGGCCGCTGCTGGGCTGGGCCCTGGGCGGGAAGCTGCCTCCCAGCTCCAGGCCTTCACAAGGGCTGTTCCAGCCTGGGATGCCCTTCCCCCTTGGCATCACTGGCTGGCTCTTGCTCCCGCTGTGGCCCACCCCCTGCTGGGTTAGGGCTCCTGAGTCCAGAGCTGTCCTGGATAAATACTCGGGGAGCTAACGGACACACGCGTGAAGGGGACAGCCAGGAGGCTGGAGCCAGTTTCCTCCAGCAGGGATGCAGGGCCAAGCAGGGGAGAGGCCAGCGGCTGGGTTTTCCAAATGGCCACAGCCTCAGGACTGGCCACCCTGGGATCCCCCCACATCCGGGGGGGGCTCCCCGCAGTCTGCTTATACCCCTGCTCTCTCTCCACCGTGGACCCTTGCGGAAAACTCCACTGAGTGTCCTTCTGGCATCTCTCTTTGGGGTGACCGGCCAGACCCCACGCCAGGTGCCTCCATCTGGGGCCACGGGCCACTGCGGGCCGCTGGCCCCTTCCTGCCCCCAACACTTGGCATTTCTCTGGCCCTGGCCCCAAGCCTCCCTGGCTCTCTATTCACCCCCCTCAGGTCTAGGAAATTGCCTGCAGAGACTTGCGGGGGGGGGGCTTCCCCAGGTTCTGTAAATAAGGGGAAACTAAGGCACAGTTGCCCATGAACCCTCAGAGATGGCAGATCCAGGGTAGCACTGCACACCTCCCTCTCCTCCCCTCCCGTGGCCTTCGGACCACAGAACCTCTGTAGATGGTGTTCTTTTCAGAACCAAAGTCCCGCAGGGACAGGGTGTGTGTGAGTAGGTGGGTGTGGGTGCCGTGGGTGGCTGTGACCTCCTTTTCCAGCTGCTTTTCTCCCCGGTCAGCAAACGAAGGCCTCAAACCCAAGCCTCTGGTGCCCTCTTGTGGCCAAATGGAGAAGTGCGCACGGCCACTGGTGGCTACTCGCAGCTTTGCGGGGGGCTAGTCACGGGGGTGAGTTCAGGGAGGGTCTCCTTGGGCCCTTGAATCTCCCAAGCCAGGGCAGACCCACCATTCACTCCACGAGCCTTGAATGCCACCCATCCTCGGTCCTGGAGGGACCTTCTCCAGGCAGGAGCCCTTCCGGAATCCTGATCTGGTCTGAACCTGTCCGGAACCTCTGGGTTCTTGTGCACCCTCACCTACCGCCCTCCAGGCGAAGGGGACACCCACATCCGTGTCCAAACAGCCCAGGTCTGTCATCCTGCTCGCGATATGCTCGTGACTAGGCTCTAGGGTCACAGGTCTGTGCGAGAGACACCAGCCCCTTTCCTCCCCCCATTTCAGTCCAGAACGATCCCCAGCCTACCAGTAGGGGACTCGCTGGCCACCCCCATCCAGCCTGGGGCCCTCCCGTGCCTCTCAGAGTGAAGCCAACCCCTCGGCAGCAGGGACAGTTCTGGCTCTGTGCTTCCAGAAGGGCTGCTGTTCGGGGCTCCTGGCCCCCCAGCTTTGCACAGGCAGATCCCTCTGCCGGGCATGCTCTTCCCATACGCCGCAGTGTTCACTTCACCCACACTCCTCCTGAAGGTAGCTCCCCCTCCCTCCCCTGCTGACCCCATGGCTCATAGGCTCCGCCCCTACAGCCACCGTGTGGTGTCTGTCTGTCCACTCTCCTCTCCCTTGCTAGGACACAGGCTCCCCATGGGCGGGAGGAGCCCAAGAAGTTCAATGCCGTTGCTGGACCTGGCTGGTGTCCAACCCTTTCCCAAGTATAAGCTTGCTGACCTCATGCCCAATGAATGAATGAGTGAGTGAATGCCTGAGCTCTGGAAGACATGAGCCAGGGCCACCCTGGCCTGCAGCCACACCCTCAAGTCACATATCTGTCACCGTCTAGGCTGCAGGTGTCTCCATCACAGTGAGCCAGTCTGCTCCCCCTCCCACGGCCCCGGCCAGCCTGGGTAGTGGTGGGGGCCCTGGGTCAGGCTAGCTCGAGCATGCTGTAAGGTAGTGAGTTCCCTGTCGCTGGGAGGTGCAGAGTCTGCTGACCCTGGGCTTGTCAGAGAGCCGAGTCCTGTCCCGGGGGCTACCGGCATGGCATCCAGTGATGCTGAGAGCCCACGACCACAGAGCCTTTCTAGTACCGCTGCCCAAGACCTGCTTGCACTGGAGCCTCGTTCCTTGAGCACGGCCACCTGTCCCCCTCCCACCGGGCCCTCCCTCAGGGCCGGAAGCTGGGGGTGTGTCATGGGCTGTCTGCGTCCCCCACAAAAGCTAAGCTGAAGCCCCAGCTCTCGGTACCTGAGAACATGACCTTCTTTGGAAACAGGTCTTTAAAGAGGAGATGGAGCTCGGATGAGATCCTAAGGGTGGGCCCTAATCTCATAGGACTGGTGTTCCTGTAACAGGGAGGCATCTGGACACAGCGAGCCACGCCCAGATGAGGGAGGATGAGCAGAGAGAAGAGAGGACAGTCACGTGCGCACGGAACACCAGAGGGCCATGTCTATGACCGCTTAGCGCTGACGCCTTCTGGGCACACACCCCCTCCCGGCACCTCCCCTCCCCCAAGGGAGCCCACCCCGCCCGCGCCTCGGCCCCAGAACCGTGAGACAACACACTTCTGTGGCTGGAGCAAGCTAGGACCGCAGGGGGCCACACAGCCGGGATCACCCCCGCCTTGCCAATTCGGGGTTCCCAACCCTTCCCACTACACTGCATAGTGGCTTGTGCTCTGTAACCTGGGCCAGCGGTCATTGCCCTGGGCCTCAGGGTCAAGTCTGCCCAACTGCTCCCCCCATAGACAGAACACACACAGGAACCTGCATCTGCATCTCCTGGGGGCAAAGCGTGCACCCGCCCTGGACACCCGCCCCCACTCTGCCCAGCCCTCCCGGTGCCGTCCATCCAGGGGCTCACCTTTCCCGTGGCACCGTGAGACACATACTTGGCTCCCTCTCGCTGGGCGATCTCCACTTGTTTCCGGGCGATGCAGGGCCTGGCGAGAGAGGTGCCCAGGAGGTAGCGGTCCTCGTACAGCGCGCTGGATTGGATGGCGGGCCAGATGAACTCTTCCACAAACTCCTTGCTGACGTCCTCGATGAACACCTACGGGGAGAGGAGCCCATGGAGGGAGGCTCCAAGGAAGGGGCCCGGCTGGAGATAGAGCCCCGCCTCCACGGCAGAGGCTACTAACGGATCCTGGAGAGATGTACCTCCACTTTTCATTCTGCATCTGTAGCAGACATCGCTAATCAACCCTAGCACGTGGTACTATTCCTCCCTTCCTGCACTCATGCCAGACATTGCTAATCAATCCAGATACACCGTGTAGCTGAAACCCTATGTGGTCCTTAGGTCCGTCTCCCAGCTCAACGTTCTGGGCCTGAGATGAAACGTGCTGTCACCTAAGGTCTAAAGCGGTAGACAGGAGATAGTAATCCACGAAAGCTCTCAACCAGGGAAGTACTGTCCCCTAGGAGCAGTGGCAATAGCTAGAGATGTTTTTGGCTGTCACACCGGTGGGGTGTGGAAGAAGGCTCTGGTATCTCATGGGTAAAGGCCAGGGATGTGGCTACACATCCCAGAAAGCTCAGGTCAGCCAGCTGTATGCTGATCGTTAATTTTTTTTTATTTGAGAGAGATGGAGCATGAACTGGGGTGAGGGGGCAGAAAGAGAGAGAGAGAGAGAGAGAGAATCCTAAGGCTCCACGCTCAGCATGAAGCCCAACGTGGGGCTTGACCCCATGAGCCTGGATCATGACTTGAGCTGAAATCAAGAGTCGGTTGTTCAACTGACTGAGCCCCCCAAGACTCTGAAAAGATTTTTTTATAATGATGCTAAGCCACTATTTGCCTTGTTTGCTCGGCTGACATTCAGATTAGCACCGCAGCAAAGACCTGGGCAGACACCGCCACTGTGCTCCTAATGCCTCGTTTCCACTGTGATGACTGCACTTAAGAGCGATCTTGAAGCTGTAACAGTGATTAGCTCTGTTCGATCTCAAGCACAAAAGGTGAAATACACACCAGTCCTTCTGTTGCAATCCAAAGCGAGTTACAAGCTAAACTAGCCACATTTTTCATGAAACATCGTTTTTACTTGAAAGGAGGACTGACAGACAAAACAAGGTCTTTCAGACTTGAGCGTCTGGCCGACATTTTCACAAAAATGAAGTGAGCTTGTCACTTCAGGGAACACTGAGTATTTGTTGCCAATGAGAAAATTCAGGTGTTTTGGTAAAAATTGGAATTATGGACAACTTCCATCTGACAGCTTCCTAACGTTTCCGAGAATAGTGGCAAGATTGACAAATGCCATGTTCTGATATTTTATGATGAAATGTATCAACATTTGGAAGATCTGGATAACTCAATGAAACAGTGGTTTTGTTTTGTTTTTTTTTAGTTTTTTAATGTTTACTCTTGAGAGAGAGCAGTAGAGAGGCTGAGAGAGAGAGAGAGAGACAGAATTGGAAGCAAGCTCCAGGCTCTGAGCTGTCAGCAAAGACCCCAATGTGGGGCTTGAACCCACAAACTGCGAGATCACAACCTGAGCCGAAGCGGACACTTAACCAACTGAGCCACTCAGGCACCCCTAAAATAGTGGTTTTCAAATGACTGGTGAATGCATCACATCACACGATCTTGCATGGATGAAAAAATCCATCCAAAGTGTAAGATGGGCCCGTGGATTTTTTAAAATTTATTTTTATTTTTTTTTAAGAGAAAGACACAAAGAGAGAGAGAGAGAGAGAGAGAGAGAGCGAACCCACAAGCCAGAGTGAAGGGCAGAGGGAGAGGAAGAGAGAATCTTAAGCAGACTCCATGCTCAGTGTGGAGGCCAATGTGGGGCTCAATCCCATGACCCTGGGATCAGATACTCAACTGACTGAACCACCGAGGCGCTCCCGGACCAGTGGATTTTAATGCATTGAAAATTCATTGCTCCAGTATCACGTTCCCCATTACACTAATCTTTAAGAAACCACCCCTTGCTGTGTTTAGGTGCAATATCAAAAAATGTCCCCAACTCTCTGAAAAGGCTATAAAAACATTCACAAGGCCATATTTCTTCCATCATGTTGACCAAAACGACACATCGCAAGATGAATGGAGTCACAGCAACAAGAATCTACCTGTCTTCTGATAAACCGGACCCGGAAGAGATTTATAAACGTGGAACATATGCAGTGCTGCTTTTACCAAGCAATTTTGGTTTGGAAATAGTTATTTTTCTGAAAAATGTTACTTATGTTAACATAAAATATGTTTAATGTTCTTTTAAAGTGGGTCACTATGATTAATTTCAGCTTTTATTTATAATGTGATATCGACAGATGTAATCCACAGAACTATGGGGCACTGAAGACTTCAAGAGTGAAAAGGGGTCACAGGATTCTTTATATTTGCAACTTCTTATGAGCATATAATTAGTTTAAAATGAAACTGTTTGGGGGGGCGCGCCTGAAAGCTCAGTCGGTTAAGCGTCCGACTTCGGCTTAGGTCATGATCTTGCAGTTGGGGGGTTCGAGCCCCACCTCAGGCTCTGTGCTGACAGCTCAGAGCCTGGAGCCTGCTTCGGATTCTGTGTCTCCCTCTCCCCCTCACCATTTCTCATGCTTTGTCTTTCTCTTTCAAAAATAAATAAACATTACAAAATTTTAAAAAAAGAAACAACTTTTTTTTTTTAATGACGTAAAGAATAAAAGAAAATGAAAATTAAAAGAAAAGCAATGAGACTATAGCTTGATGGTATGGGCAAGAAATTCCCATTCCAATTCCAAATACATGAAAGTGTACGGGATCCCTAGAGAGCAAGGTTAAGAATGAGGACTAATCTAGTCATGAAGATGGCTGAACTGATCCAGAGTAACGAATGAAGGACAGACAGATCTTTACACAAAAGCCCAACTCGTGTGAAAGCCCAGGTCATTTTCAAAACTCAAGTGCTTTATTCCTACCTTCTGGGTTTCTGCTCACACAACCTCTCTTCTCTCTGAGCCACGAGGGGTAGCCAGTTTTAGGCCCGAGGCCAGTAACAGGATATGGGACTCACGCTTCATTTTAAATGTGCAAACTGGGCTCTCCCTATGTGCCAGGCTTCTTTTTAGGTTCCAAACCCCACAGAAGTGCCCTGCAGAGGGGACCAGTTCTTACCAAGCAGGTGGGCTGCTGGCTTTTCACGCCATCCCTGCTGGGCCCCCTGGCCACGTGCCCAAGTGAAGGGGAGAGGGTGCCAGGGATGTCCCCATGGGAGCAGCTCAGACTTTACACTGAGAGCCTACGTGAGCAGAGGCCCATGTTGGCCCTGTTCACCCTTGGGGCTCCACACCCAGCAGAGGGCTGGCATGCCACGTGATTAGATGTTCAGTCAGGGCACTAAACTCAACTGGAATTTTCTGATTCTGGATGGAAGGATGGACAGAGATAAAAGAGGAATGGACAGGTAGATGGATGAAAGAATGGGTAGACAGATGGACAGATGAATGGATGGATAGTTGATAGTTGGGTGGATGAATAAATGGATGGCTGGGTGGGTGGATGAATGGCTGGGTGGATGATGGTTGGATGGATGGATACATGAGTGAATCGATGATGATTGGCTGGGTGGATAGATGAGGGAATGGCTGGGTGGAGGGACAGAGGTATAAAAGGGGGATGGGCAGGCAGATGGATGGATGCGGAAGAGGAAGACGGATGGGCAGGTGGGATGAGGGGGTGGGGGGGGAGTGGATAGGGAAAGCAGGGAGATGATGGCATCCACACACCTGAAAAGAGAAGGAACTGAGCTCATACTCTTGGAAGCAAGAAGACCCAACTGGAAAGGAGGCAGGGGCCAAGGAGCCCTGGGCAGCCATGCCCACTGCTGCCTCCAACAGGTCAAAACCCCACTTCCAGGCCCAAATACTGCTGCCACGTGGTACCTTTTTGGCCCCGAGCTTCAGCGCCTTCTTCCTGGCTTCCTCGAAGTCTTCCTTCTGACCAATGTTGGCCTGAGAAGCAGAAGCAGAGAGGCCTAATCAGCCCAGGGGCATAAAGAGGGATGGAGAGGAATTTCAGCCCCCTCTCCCCCTGCAAAAGCCGTCTACAACGCCCCTCAAATGGAGGTAGCTCCCCCTTTCCAGCTGACTATGAGTGAGGTGCTTCTCTCCCTGGGCCTCACCCTCCGCTACCTGAACGACAAGGGGACCGGGCGCTATTAGGTATATTGACCTTGACTGCAAACCAATCATCCTGGCAACAGCTTAACTTCTGTATGTGGAGCACCGTCCTCACTTCCTCTATGAACAGAAACTTTTCAGGGGCCTCTTTCCATAAGAATGGAGGGGAACAAATCATGTCCCCTGCTCACTGTAGGGAAAGGCCCATGATCCAAGGCGAGCCAGTCAGAACCCTTCCTGCACAGTCACAGCCATAGAGACCAATACACAGTGGGCAGTGGCTCAGGCAGTGAGAATCCCCCAGGCACTACCATCAGAGCCCCTGGAGGAAGCCCTCCTTTCTCTGTGAGGGCCAGGCTACAATGATGTGAGCCCTGCCTGCCCTGTGGACAGGCCAAGGACGAAGCCAAAGAGAGCTGGAGACAGATCTGGATAAGCACCTGGATCCAGCCTTGCCTGAAGCTGTCCAAGCCCCGGATTTCTCAGTTACACTGAGCCAAGAACACTTGTTCTTTTGTTTGTCCATTTTAAGTGGGTATGAATCAGATTTTTAGAATTTGCACTCAGGAGTCTTGACTACACGGAGAAGGGTTCCAATGCTCCGCCTAGTTTATTAGAAGTGGATCTGGCTTGGGGCGCCTGGGTGGCTTAGTCGGTTAAGCGTCCGACGTTCGCTTAGGTCATGATCTCGCGGTTCGTGGGTTCGAGCCCCACGTCGGGCTCTGTGCTGACTGCCAGCTCAGAGCCTGGAGCCTGTTTCAGTCTGTGACTCACACTCTCTCTCTGACCCTCCCCTGCTCACGCTCTCTCTCTCTCTCTCTCTCCTAGAAAAAAAAAAAAAAAAAAAAAAAAGAAGTGGATCTGGCTTGATTGGGGGCGTCTGCTGGACTCGGCATGGAGGGTGGCGTCACACATAGCCTGTTACCTGTGGCCTGCGCCCTATTTGCCACCCGAGAACCAGGTGATCGCTGAGAGCTCTGCCGGCTCAGTCACTCCAGGTTCTACAGTCTTTGCAGCCTTCCTGGGCGGTGACAAGGGACTTTGGAAACAAACAGGAAGACTGTGTGCCCTCCCCGCTCCCTTCTGCAGGCCAGCGCCCACGGTCCCTTGCCAGCAGGCTGGCCGAGTCGCACGGCCAAGCTCACTTCCAGCGTCCCCTGCTCCGGTCGCCCACAGAGAGCTGGCCTCCCCTGTGCTCCGTGGGGCGTCCCAGACCTGGGGACACCGCGGATGTTATTTGACAGGTGAAGAAAGTGGGGCAGAGCAACGAGAAGCCTACAGCTGACAGGCTCCGGGAGGGGAGGAGGGGCTCGGGGGAGCGTGACAGCGAGCACTCGGACAGCAGGACAAGCAGCTGGAAGGATGGACACATGGGAGCCTCCTCACCAGGTAGGCGATGACGTCATAGCCTTGCTCCTTCAGCCACACGAGGATGCAGGAGGTATCCAGGCCGCCGCTGTAGGCCAGGACCACGGAGCCTTTGCTGGACATGTCGCCTGGAGGGAGGGGACGCTGGTGTTGAGGAAGGACAGTGACTCAGAGCCCGCCCATCCCAGGCGGCCAGCCCCTGCAGACAGCCCCCACCTTGGCCTTGGGAAGCCTCATTCCCTGGAGGGGCTGCCACCGGGGGAGGGGAGGGTTGGATGCCGTTCCTTCCTGCAGCCTCGGCCCTCCCCCTCTCCCCCCGCCGGAGATCCAACCCCACACACTGCACACACACCCTTACAAACAGGCAGGGAGGGTCCTGGGAATAAGATAGCAGCTTGGAGCAGAGGGGGGGAGGGAGGAAGCAGGTCTTGCTGGGAGCCAACCCCCCACCAGCTAGAGAAGGTGCCTGAGGCTGAGCTCTTGGGACGGGGCCAGGGGGTTCCTGAGACCTGGGCGGGGCCTTGGCTCCAGGCCTTGGGCAGCTCGGGAGATTGACCAGCAAGGCCCTGGGGTCCCTCATGCAGCTCACCCGCACCCCCACCATGACCCGCTATGGCGCCCGACGGGGAGGCAGACACTGGGGCTCAAGGTCACAGAGCTCGGCCCAGCATGCAATGCATGCAATGCTGCCTCCTCGCAGAAGAGGAGGCCAGGGTGCAGGACCCCCCCACCTCCATGTACCCCCCACCTGGGGCCCCAGCGAGCCCTCAAACACTGGGATTTCAGGCTCTTTTCATTTTTTTTTTAATGTTTTATTTATTTCTAGGAGAGAGAGAGACAGCGTGAGCAGGGGAGGGTCAGAGAGAGAGGGAGTCACAGACTGAAACAGGCTCCAGGCTCTGAGCTGGCAGTCAGCACAGAGCCCGATGCGGGGCTCGAACCCACGAACCATGAGATCATGACCCAAGTGAAAGTCGGACGCTTAACCGACTAAGTCACCCAGGCGCCCCCAGGCTCTTTTCAAAGCACCTCAGTGATCTGCTGTCCAGGATGCAGATGGAGACACTGAGGCCCAGAGAAGGAAGGAGGCAGGCGGAGGGAGGTCCTTCCTGGAGGCATAGATGACACACCTGTCCCTCTGCATCAGGGACAGAGCGTCCCACCTTATCCGTCTCCTCAGCCTCACTGAGGCACCAGGACCCCTGCTTTCTTGCCTTTGCAGCTGCTGTTTCTTCTGTCCGGAAGGCTCTCCCTGAGCTTGTGGGCTGTTAGGACGCGCCCTGCGCCCCCCAGCACCCCCACGAGGTCCTGAGTAGTACTGTTATTGTGCCCACTTTGCTAAAGAGGCAGGTGAGGGTCACAGAGGTGGCAGCCACTTGCTGGAGGTCACACGGTCCGCAGGCAGCAGGACCAGATTTGGACCCAGCCTCCCCGGACGTGGCCCCCGCTTCCTGCGTCTGGTGAAAAGCCTTTACACTGGAGTCTGACCAAGGTCAAGGTCTTTATTAGACACTATTGGGAAAATCTGGGGACCCCCCCACAGCCACAGGAGCCCACGAGGGGTCCCCACCATCGCTACCATAAAGATGCAGGCTCTCGCATACTGAAAACCTCCCCTGGGCCTGGAAGTCCAGGGAGGTGACGTGCCATCTGGTCCCCCAGCCCTGTGCACAGAGCCGGGATGCGGCGTGACACTAGAACATGCCAGCTGTGTGCAGCTGCATCTCACTGGCCCACTGGCCAGCCCCAGGGCTCACACGCCCTGCGAACCCTTGGCACATGGAAGGGTGGAGAAGTGAGGTTGGGGAGGTGCATTGCTGACGGACGCACGTGACTTTTGCCTCCACTGGGCATTCGACCACCTGCCAGGCCCTGTCCCCAGCCCGGCTTGCTGGTGACAGGCCATCAAAAATGGAGAGAAGGAGGGGTGCCTGGGTGGCTCAGTTGGTTAAACGTCTCACTTCAGCTCAGATCATGATTTCACAGTTCGGGGGTTCGAGCCCCACGTCGGGCTCTGTGCTGCCAGCTCGGAGCCTGGAGCCTGCTTTCCATTCTGTGTCTCCCTCTCTCTCTGCCCCTCCCCTGCTCGCGCTCTGTTTTTCTCAAAAAAATACACATTTAAAAAACTTAAAAAATAATGGAGGGAAGGAGGAGGGAGGGAGGAAGGACTCTGAAAGTACCTTGGATGGGACGTGTGGGTTCCCGGCTTCTGGAATCTGACCTCACGGCTCGGTGAACCACTCTGCAAAAGCGAAAGCTGTATCAGCTACCAAACAGCAGTCTGGGTGACAGGCCCTGGTGATCGTGGAGACCTGGGGAGGCCCAGGAGCCAGCTGCACAGTCCCCCAGCCCCCAGCCCCCCAGCCCCCCGGCCCCAGGTGCTGTGTGCGTGGTGTAGGGGGGCGGGGTGGGTAGTCTGTTGCTTATCTTTCAAGCAGCTCTACAGAGGTTTACTTGATATGCAATAAACCGCATCTGCATCTATTTTGAGTGGCCGATTTAGTGTGAAACTGTCCCCACAGCCAACATAACGGTCTGGCACGTGCTGAACGCTTCCCTTCGTGTTACCTCCACTTTGCAGACAGGGAAACTGAGGCTCGGGTTAAGGAACTCACTCAAGGCCTTGCTTGGCTGTTAAGCAGCAGGGACAAGACTCAAACCCAGAGCAGCTGGGCCCCGGAAGCCTGCTGGCGGAAGGTACGAGGCCCAGCGAAGGGAAACGCTGGGGCCAGGCATGGTCTGGGAAGCCATGGGCGGCTCAGACACCCCGGTGTGGCTGGGGTGCGCTCAGGACAGGGAGACATGGGGCAAGGCCAAGATTCACCCTGTTCTTCAAGTCGCCCCGGCTCTGCCGCCTCCTAAAGGCACCTGGAGCCCAGACGGTGGGCACCAGAGTCAGGGAGAGGAAGCGCGAGGAGACAGACAGGCAGACAGACAGACAGACTGCCTGGGTCTGCCCCACCCTGCCCGGTGATCCCATCACGGCACATGTGCGCCGTGTCCTAATCGTACCCCCACTCCCCTAGCTGTGAGCTCCGCGGGGACGGGGGCCTCTCCCGGACAGCTCTGTTCTCCTTCCAGAAGTTGGTTCCTTGCGTAGAAGAGAAGCTTAAATCCCGTCTGGAATTCTAAGCATGCTCTCCTCCCTGCCGCCTGCCAGGCCGTGTGCATGCATGTGCACCAAAGACCTTGGCCTCTAGGGATGAGCTGTGTGAAAAAACGCACTTATCTAGGACTGTGCACGCCTGCACATGTGTGGTATGTTTGGGCCTGTGCGTGCAGAGATCAGTGGGGCAGGTGGGCTGGGAAATGATGCATCTTTCCAGCGCCCCCCCCCCCCCATCCGCGGACCGATGAAGCTTCTCCTCCCCCAGCCAGCAGGGTCCCTGGGCTGTGCCATGACACTGATGTCTGTCTCCGTGAGTGGAAACGACCAGAGCTGAGGCCTGGGGGCCGGGAGAGAACAGATACGGCCCAGTGAGTGCCGCTATGGCTGCTTCAGCTGCTCATCTGCCAGACGCGGCTGAGAAGAGCCCATCAGTCCACGGGGCGACAGTGAGGATTCAGTGAGACGCTGGGGGTAGGAGCCAGAGCTGGGCACCAACATGGTCACGGCTCACCTCAGGCCAGTCCCTCCCTCTCCGGGGCTCAAGCGAGCCATCTGCCGTTCTGGTTCTGACAGCCCAGGACCCGGGGCTGCTGCCTGGGGGAGGCGTCTAGCAAACCCTCGTCTCCGCCCCACCCTCCGTGAAGGGTGGGTTTTCCCAGCTCCCAGGCGCATGACCACTGCCAAGAACATCTGTTTCCTCTCCCATACCCTTCACCAAAAGACGGACACCTTGGAGGAGAGAAGGCCGCACGTCAAGATGCCTGCCAGCCTGGTCTGAGGGGGCAAGGCAGGTGGCATTCTCCGGGGCCCCAGCCCGAGCCACCCCACCAGCCTCCCATGCACCTGCTAGGCCCGCCTTGGATACATCCTCAGTTCCAATGAAACCCATGTGCTCCTAAATGTCAAAGCTGGAACAATGACAAGAGTAGATACTCTGTTCAGCACCGCACAAGTGCCAGTTCAAGGTGGCGACTATTACTGATAATCAATATCAGCTATCATGACCACGTTGGGGCTCAGAAAAGGTAAGCGACTCGTCTGGGCCTCCAGTGCTGGGGCTGCAGCCGAGGCTGAGGACAGACCGCCTGCTCTTTGCTGCCCTGGGCCCTATAAGCTCTGAACTTGAGGAGGCGACAGGTCGCCTCCCCCTCACTTTTGTCTTCCAGAAAACAAACCCCCCAACGAATCATCAATCAGCAGGGAAACAGCTGAGCGCATCTTCTTCCGGAACCACTGCCTGACATTCTAACTCCACTGAGCTGGGTTCGTTAGAGTGTTTTTTTTTTTAACCCCAGCTCCGCCTAAGCCGGAAGAATTCTCTGACTTTGGGGGGTTCCTCCTTCTAGGGTTTTCCAACTCCCATCCCCTTGGGGCGCTCTTTTGTGTCTGACAGAGCTAGGCTGCAATTCTACACTCTGACCAGGAGGTGCCGCTGTCGGGTTTCAGCCCGACCACCCGCCCGACCGGGTCGCTCATCTATCAGCACAGGCTGGGTAAGACAGGGGAGCGATTTTCTTCCCAATTGACAGATGAGGGAGCTGAAGTCAAGGGGCTTGTCCTGGGCTAGACAATGAGCTGGCTCTCGGCAGCTGGGGCCTGAGAACCACATCAGGAACACTGGCTTTCTTGGAGATGGGGGCACTCCAGCAAACATCTTCCACCCAGGGGTAAGGGTCACCTGGGAGTCTGCGGGGGCTGGGAAGGTTGAGTCTCTGCTTCTGGTGAAAAGCCCCTAGACGGGTGGTAGGCACACTAAGGAGATCTCACCGGACTTTGGTAAGAGACAGGCAAACTTCTAAGAGCCTTTGGGGCACGCTGGGGAGAGAAGAGAGCATTCATTCATTTGCTGATCCTACTAATATTACAAAGCCTGTTGGGTACATGGCCTCCCCCCAAGTCTGGGGAGGGCACCCCCCAAGTCTCGGGAGCGAAGACACCAGGCCCTGGAAGCTCAACCCTTCCCAAAGTGTAACAGCAGAGCTCAGAGCCTCAGACCCTGAATCCCGATGAGTTTATCTCTTTCCACATGGGTGCCCACAGGCAAGGCACTCTCTTCGGGGGCTCTGTGCTCCATTGAAGGCATCTGGCCGTCCTGGCTTGCCTCCCAGCTAAGGGAGCTAAGATGAAATGGGGCATGGGAAAGTGCTTGCACAGCGGCTAAGTCTGGGCCCGGCCCCGCTCCGTGAATCAGACTCCTGGGGCCCTGGGCCAAGGGAAATGGCCCGCATCATGGCCAAGTGACCGCAAAGCCCAGAGCAGACGGTCAGTTGATGGGGCCCATGTGAGTACTCGAGGGAACTTAGACTATAACCGAGTGGGGGCCTCGCTCCCCTGCCCCACCCGGTGCCTGGCCCAGGGGTTAGGTGCTCAGTGAGGCACCTTTCATCACTCAACTTGTACTGAGCAGAACCAGAATTGCTTCTCAGCACAGTGCACAGGTGGGTCCCAACTGGGACAGGTCTCCACCCCATCCCCCAGCCCCCCTGCTTGGGCTCGGAGAGGGGGATGGAAGGGGGGAAGGGAATTTAGAATGAAGATTCCTCGGGTCCTAGCCACCCGTTCCTTTTGTGGCTCTTTCTGTCTACGGTCTCCTCGCCAGAAGCTTCCGTAGGAGGGTAGAGATCTTGTCTCCCTCTCATGTCCCCTGTATGGCAGGCGGGGAGGCGGGCCCCAGACAGTTAATGAGTGCACGGACCCAGCCTCGGCTCTCAGTCTACTGAGATGGCCCCACCTCTCTGTTTCCTAGCCTTGAGCCTGTGCCAGCTCTGACAGATGGGGAAACTGAGTCTTGGGAAGCTGGCACCTGATCCAAGGTCTCACCCAGTTGTGCCTGCCTTCGGGGCTCGGGTCTGCTGGCTCCGGAATCTGCCCCGTCACCAGCCAGGGGCTGGGAAGGAAGGATCAAAGGCCAGGGCCTATTTGATCCCTCCATGGGGAGAGAACAGGTTTGTTCCTGCCCCAGACTGCTTGTCCGGGCCTCGAGGCCCCGCGGGGGACGCCCCCACTGCGCAGAAAGGAACACCGAGGTGGCCGGTCACGGGACCTCCTCAGGAAGCGCTCTGGCGGGCGGGAGAGGGGTTTCCTCCATTTCATAATGACCCTCCCTCTCCTTTGGCCGACAGCAACGGGGACGGCGGGCGGCCGTTTCCTGCGAAGCGGCCCCTCCCACAGTCCCGGAGCCCAGTGGCAGCCAGAAACCCGGCACAGCGACCCGGGCGCGGCCCCCGCCCTCGGGAGGAGAACGCCGATCCCCTTCCGGAGGCAGAGACTGACGCCCCCTGCAGGGAGGGAGCGCACTCACAACCAGATTCCATGCATCTGGCAGCGGTAAACTGAGGCTCGGGGCTGGGGGAGGGGCCGATAGACCCAAGACCCCGGGCCAGGGGCAGAGGTGGGGCAGGAACTCAGAGGAACTCAGTTTGACGCCGAGAAGGGGAGGCGGAGACAGAGACGAGGCGAGGCGGCGGTGGAGGGAGGTCAGAGAAGGGGTGAGAAAATCGGGACCCCCCCCCCAACCCTCCGGACTCCCAAGGTCTCTATCTGGGGGGTTCGGCCACAGAGGAAGCTGGGTTAGACACGGAATCCAGAAAGGACCTCGGCCCGCAAGGGGGACACATAACCTGGCCGCCCCCCACCCCCACCCCCACCCCGCATAGCCCGGGACGCGCGCCCCGGCCCCACCCCCGGAGAACAGGAGCCGGGGCGTCGCTGTCCTGCCCTCCCGTCCAGGTGCGAGTGCGCGGCGCGCGGCCACTCGGGGCCGCCCTCGGCTCCCGCCCGCCCGGGCGCCGGAGCGCGGTCCCCTCGGCCTCCTCGGCTCGGGCTCGCTGTCGGCGGGACCCGGGGGCAGGGCGTCCTAGGCCAGGGGGTGGGAGCGGAGTCTCGGGCCGGGGGGCTCCTTACCGTGGCCCAGGCGGCGGTGGCGGGCGGCAGAGCAGGGCCGGTTGCGTGGCGCATCCCAGGTTATAAACACCGGGCTCGGGGGCAGGGCCCGCGACCAGGGACACGTGGGGGGGACGCGCGCGCGCGACAGGCCCCGCCCCCAGACCCGGCCCGCCGCGGCCACTTGCAGGTGCGCAGGGCCCGGCCTCTCCCTCGCTCCTCGCCCGCCCTCCTCCCTCTCCCGCCCTCGCGCCCCCCCCCCGCCCCGCCCCCCGGGGCCGCACGTCCTCCCGAGGGCGCACGCGGCGGCGGCGCCACCGAGGGTCTTCTCGCCCTGGCCTGCGGGCAGGTGGCTCCTCCCGCGGGAGCGGGAACAAAAGTCCCTTAGGCGCAGGGAATTTCGTGTCCGCTTTTAGCAAAGCCCGTGGTGGCCTCTCCGCAGACCTCCCCTCCCCCGCAGCGGCCCTCCAGGTAGAGGTGGCACTAGAAGGCCTTGGCTTCATCCCTCCCTCCGGGGCCGGCTCTTGGCTGCCTCCCCAGAGCCGGGCACCTGACCACCCCCTCCAGGGCACCCCGTTAATAGTGAAGAGGAGACTGGCCAACTGCTAGGCCCCCAGGCAGCAGGGGTGAGGCGAGGCTTCTTGCCTGCGGAAAGACACGGGGAGTTTGCTGCCCCAGGCTGGCCTTCAGAAGTCCCCCCGCCTGGTTTAGAGGCCCCAAAGCACCAGTCCCTGCAGCCACAGCTGGGTAAAACAGCAGGTGCCCAGCTGTCCAAGGCAACTCCCAGTCCTCTCGGCCCTGAACCCCCTGGGAAGTGGGGGGCCCCGGACCATACTGCTGGTTTGCCATTCAGCCGTTTTGTAAAAGTGGGGGTGAAGCTGGGGGGTAGGTGGTGTTGAGGAGGCAGCCCTGTCCCCTTCCTGCAACCAAGAAGCAGACAGAGAAGGGGACCCTCGGCAGAGGGGGGTGAAGGCTGCTCACATAGTCACTTAGTCCTTCACCCAGTCAGTGCCTCCCCCCAACCCCCATCCTAGCGCTGAGCATCCCTGCCCAGCCACCAAGCACGTGTGCCAGGCGAGTAGCTGTGACCCATCAGTAGGCAAAGGTTTAAAAGCAACTGACATGCGAAACCACAGCTTTCGGGCCGCAGAAACCCCCCAGCCTCTGACGCCCGAACCCCAGATGTGGCCGTGATGTCCAGGAAGCCCCGTCAGGAGCTGTGTGGGGCTGGGTGACTTGAGGCACCTTCCTGCCAAGGAGGCGGGGTGGCAGCTGGACCCTTAGCCCACTCACTGCGCCGCCCCTGGGTCTCACAGAGCCCCTGGCCTTCCTCACTAGCAGGAAGCAGGGGAGGAACAGCGGCAACAGCACACCTTCGGGGGGAGGGGGGCAGCCTTGGGTGGCTTCCATCCCCAGCAGGAGTGGGGAAGGAGGGGCAGCATTCGCAGTGTCCCCTGACTTCGTACTGAGTCTTTGTTTCTTCCTTTGAGATGTTACTGCTCCTTGAGAAAGTTGGGGAGGGTGTGGGTGAAGAGGGAGCATCTCCTTGGAGTTATTGCAGAGGACGTGTGTGTGGGGGGGAAACTGAGGCAGTGAAGCCTGATGTTCCCCCCCAAGCTCCCCAGAGCCATTCCCCAGACCTTAGGAAGAGGATGGGGTGAGGGATACGCCCCTGTCAGTCTCGGGAAGATGGGGGAGGGGCAGCGGAATGGAGAGGAAGTCATTCCTCTGGGTGGATCTGGGGCTCAGTCACACCTTGTGGTTATCACCAGGCATAAAGGTATCTCCCTACCTTTTTTTTTTTTTTAATATTTTTATTTATTTCTAGGAGAGAGAGAGAGAGAGACAGCGTGAGCAGGGGAGGGTCTGAGAGAGAGGGAGTCACAGACTCCAGAAACAGGCTCCAGGCTCTGAGCTGGCAGTCAGCACAGAGCCCGACGCGGGGCTCGAACCCACGAACCGCGAGATCATGACCTAAGCGAAAGTCGGGCGCTTAACCGACTCAGCCACCCAGGCGCCCCGGTATCTCCCTACCTTTATTTGATCTTCACGACTGCCCCATATGAGGCCACTATGATTGTTATGCCCATTTTACAGACAGGAACAGAGAGAGGGTATATCTTTCCCAAGGCCACACAGCATGTTAGTAGCAGAGCAGGACTAGACCCCAGGGTCTGAAGCTCTGGCCAAACCCTCTGCTGCAGCTCAGGCTTGGGTTGAACTGGCAGAGGAACCAGGGTCTCGGTCCCAGGGTCCCAGGCTGCCGGGACCTTTACTCTCTGCTGCAGACACGGCTCCAGTCCCGGGACTGTCCCTTTCCTACGCACAGGAGCAGGTGACACAGCTATCCTAAGAAGAAAATGGGCCCAACCGCTAGCAGGGGTCCCGCCCACTGGGCGCCAGGGTGGATGAGAGGCAGAGATCAAGGCCAGGTGGACTGGCCGGCTCCTGGATGAGCCGCTTTCATCATGCACCCCTCCATCTGCCAGGTGGAGGTCCGCACCCTACCCCAGCCCTGGCCAGAGGGGACCCCCTCCCTGGGGCTGAGCCTCCGTGGCCTTTACCTTTCACCCACACCCAGGTCAGGGCTCCTAAAGGACCCTCCACACCTCCTACATAAGTGACCTTGGGTGATGCCTCTGCCCTTTCCTTTGCATCTCCACCTCGCCCCCACTGGCCTGTCTTCTCTTACTCAGACCGTTGTAGCCTCCTTGACCATTTCTGTGCCTCTTCCTTCCAGTCCCCTGCTCCCCGCCCACAAATCCTTTCTCCGCACAAGAGCAGAGTTCTTTCTTTTTTTTTTAAATGTTTTATTTATTTCGAGAAGAGAGAGAGAGTGAGCAGGGGAGGGTCAGAGAGAGAGGGAGTCACAGACTGAAACAGGCTCCAGGCTCTGAGCTGGCAGTCAGCACAGAGCCCGACGCGGGGCTCGAACCCACGAACCGCGAGATCATGACCTAAGCGAAAGTTGGACGTTTAACC